AGCGTTCGATGGTCTTCTTCTTGGCCTCGGTGCTTGAGACCCGTTAATAGGCACAGGGATGGATAGGTAAACGGTACTGTATCCAACTCCAGGGCTGGTAGACTGACTTGCTTCATTTTCAGATTGCAGCGCACTGGCAATCGCCTCTACAGATTCCTCGATCTCTTCTCCAACATATAAATATGCAACCCCGTCATCGTCATCGTCATCATCTTGGTATTCTTCCTGATCCAACGATTCAATAATCACATCTTCACCGTCACAATCTTCCAAGACTCTTCTTATGTCTTCGTTACTTACTCTCGACATTTCAAAAGTTCAAGAAGAACGCAAAATCACAATGAATAAGACTTACAACGACAATTAAACGTCGGTAAACACCAAAGAGATTTTTACTTCACAGTCACAAGTCTGTGGTAAACGCTAGGGGTACACTGTATTTCTACTTCACACTTACTACACACACTTGTACACGGGCATATCCGGATCCCGGCACTATATTGCAATATTTCTGCATCAGTTGACCTAAGACATAAGTTTTATTAAAATACGAGAGGACAAATTGGGAGGTTTGAAACTTTTGTATGGGGATTGTTAACGTGTTAATTGTTTTCAGCCAATTTTTTAAAGTGGGCTCGGACTTGCCCTTGTCAATAAATTTAATTTTTTCAATTTTTTTTTCTTTGTAACCATTTAAAAGTTTTAATATCTTTGCTCACATTTTCGTGGTAAGCACAATATTCCAAGTATCTATTTGTTTCTTTTATTATAGAACTAAAATGCCTCACAGCATATTCCGAGGGATAAGCAGCTTTCTTTGCTTAATGCTTTATATTCTCTTTATGAGATCCATTTATGTACATAAACTTGTCGGCAATTTATTTTGAATTTACCAAAGATATACAGATCAAATCTATGGCGACTTTTTTATACCAAATGACAGATTTTCGTATTGGACTGTTATAACTGCACAATTGGTCCGCCAAATCAATCCCTTTTCCCCTTTGTTATAATAGAGCACCGCTGTTGGTTTTAGGACAGGATTTCTACCTCAACTCTTTTCCATAGCTAAACCGTGGCACGTAGTTAGCATCATCACATCTCTTTTATCGTGCCACGTTAGACACGTCACATTATCTTTTGCATTACTGCAGCATTTCCCCTTTCTAATTTTACTTTTACAACTGCACTTGGTAGTCCTTTTCTTCGTGGATTTACTGTGCCTAGTAGATCAGTTTTGCGGCGTTTCAAGTATTCGACCATAGCAATACTAGTATAGTAGTTGTGTGTAACTACCAGCCTTCCAACATCCAACAATTGTTCTGCTAAACGAGCAACAATACTTTCCGACAAATCCAAGGCATTATTTTTTACTCCTTGAGCACAGTATATTTCATACGACCATACATATCCATCGACTGAGAAAAGTTTATAAGTTTTAAACCATACTTATTTATGACTTTTAGATGGAATATACTGCCTAAACAGAAGTCTTCCTCTAAAATGGACCATTGATTTATCAACAACAACTATACGTCCGGGAGTATAAATTTGCCTCCAGTTGTATTGGATTTGGCTCAAAAGAGGACATTTTATATAGCCTTTCTTCTGCGAACGGTGGTGCGTAGTTATCTGCGAAATGCCAGCATCTAAGTATTAGATTGAATCGGTTATAAGACATGCCAATGTCATGCAAAAGAGGATGATAGTAAAGTTTATCAATCTACTAATAACACTATAGTTGGAAGTGATACTATTCCAGTTAACAACAAAACCCCTAAAAATGTCAACATTTCTTCCTCTGTGTCATCTTTCTAGCGACATTTGCTTTGATATAATTTTCGATTCGATCGTCATTCTAATTTCAATCGATGACCGTAAATTAGTTTAGTTTACGATGGGCTGATTTCCGCAACTCCACGTCTATGCGCGTATTTTGCGTGTGGGCAGGAATAATATGCTTATTCGAGCCATGAGATCTCCCCGAAAAAGCTCAACAGTCCTTTGATGTTGCATGCAACTTCGGGGAGTGATCTCGGCGGGCCGAGATGTTTAGCCCTGTACGTAGCGACCTCCGAACATTTCAATATCACATGGGCCGCCGTTTCTTCTTCCCCCATACATGCCCTGCACAGGGGACTATCTGTAACAACTATAGTAAATAAATGCTTGTTAAAGTTGCCGTGTCCTGTGATAGCACTTGTTACTATCCTGATCTGCGGCTTGTTCAGTCTCATTAGAACTTTGGTTAAACTACTGTTTATTTCAGGCAGGGCCTCCCTAGCTTGTCTACAGTCTACTAGATTTTTCCAAAGCTGAGCGTGTAAATTAGTGAAGTGTCTACGTACCAGTGAACGAACATTACCAAAGGGGATTGGTATGATTGGTTCCGGCCCTATAGTGGCCAGAGCCGATCCTCTTCTGGCCAGTTCATCTGCTGCGTCGTTGCCTCTGGATCCACTGTGTCCCTTTATCCATTGCAGAGTCACATTGTTGTTTTACATATCTCATTTAATGTTGATGGCATTCATATATTAGTCCCGAGTTCACCACATTGCAACTCAGAGCTTGTAGTACCGCCCTACTGTCGGTCAGTATTCTGTTGGGGAAGTCATTAACCTTCCTAGCATCTATTGCTATGGCCGCTTGAATGATACCCATACATTCCGCCTGAAAGACTGTGTTATAGGTACCCAGCGGTGTGCATATGTGGATATTGAGGTCTTCAGAGAAAGTTCCAGAACCTACACCTTCATTTGTTTTAGAACCATCGGTGAAAACTCTAAGCTCTTTTGGGCTTAATCCTTCCGGCTGGCTGGTTTCATTTAATTGTATCTTATACTTCTTATCGAATGCAAATTGTTTAGAAATCTTATCGTACTTGGCTTGTAAGATAGGAATTTTTGAGTGAATTCTATCAATGCCTGTATGAGGGACTCTATTCTTACTCCAAAGATTTAGGGTCTTGAGTCTGATGGCAGCTAAAGTCGCTTCTTGTTTGTATATGTAAATGAAGCGGGGTTAGCTTTAGCATCGCTTCTAAGGCTGCTGTTGGCGTAGTCTTTATGCAGCCTGTGGCAGCCATACATGCCAGTCTCTGGTAGCGCTGAAGCTTCTTTATAGTGGTGGCTTCATTTGTCTTGGTCCACCATACCAGAGCGCCGTATGTGATCATGGGCCGAATTAAAGTTTTGTACAGCCACAGTATATTTTTTGGCGTCAGTTCCCATCTTTTGCCTATCATGTTTCTGCATTGCCAGAAAGTTATACTAGCTTTGTTGATTTTCTTATCTATGTGTTTATTACAGTTAAGTTTGCTGTCCAAGGTAAGATCTAAATATTTTACCTCTGAGGATAACTGGAGTTTTGTGCTGAAAAGACTTGGGAGGTGATAGTTATTCAGCATTCGTTATTGTGTGAACATTACTAGAACCGTTTTATTTGGATTAACTATTAAGTCGTATTCCCTGCACCATCTCTCCACTATACGGAGAGCCGCTTGGGTCAGGTCGCACACTATGCTTGCTGTCTTTCCAGAGACCAGTATTGTCAGGTCATCAGCATAACCTACTGTGTAGAAGTGATTGGCATTTAATGTGCTGATGAGTTCATTAATGACCAATTCCACAGGAGAGGGGAGAGAACCCCACCCTGCGGGCAGCCTTTCTTAATTTGGTTTGGTTGAGATTCACCAGCAATCTTTATTATTCGTGTACTGAGCATGTTTACTATCCAGTCAATCAGTGCCGGTTCAACTTTATGTCTAGTCTAGACATATTTCTTTGTTTTGGATGGCCTATTCAATCTTTGTTATTACCTGGTGAAGTGCCGATTCTGTTGATTTGCCTAGACTAGGCGTGTTGCTTGTCGTGTAGTGGTAAGTTCATTAGCGCCGACCCCCTTAATTCCCTTTCACACATCCTTTCCATTGTCCTTAGGAGAAAGGATGTGAGGCTAATGGGCATGTAGGATTTAGGGTCTGTGTAGTCGCTTTTACCTGGTTTTAGTATGAATGTGACTTTCACTTCCCTCCATCCCCTAGGGACATAATTAAGAGACAGACAGGCTCTTATTATGGCAACAAGTCTGACTGTTAGTGCTTTACCCCCCTCCCCCCTCCCACTGTAGGAGTGCCGGGAATGTGTATATGGAATCTATACCTTTACACAACGCTCAATAGTGTTGAGTTCGGATATACAATAAAAATATATGCAGCCGTATTAAGGAGTTCAAAATTATACCCGTCCACAATTTTCCGAGGTATACTTTTATGTAGGACACTACATTTTGCTATACTATAATCTATACCCGTTTCAGTGTCTCAACGAATACAACCAAGACAGACAAAGGGATGGTTATTTTTATGTAAGGATTGAAATAAATTATACAAGCACAAAAGTGGATAAAAACGTTTATTACAAAAGGAAATTAACTTAGTACAGAAATACAATTGGCATGAACTAAAAAAGGAAAAATAAGAATTTAGCGCGCGTTATGAACATTCATTTTAATATTCTGTCCTAAGTCATGCTTTCGTTTAGTTTTGCGTTCTGTGATAGACGGCCGCCCAGCTTGAATCCTAGACTACATATCTCTTATTCCCCTGTCTTTACGTCTACTTATGGCTGTGCTTTGAACATTAATTTTTCTTGGTACACGCCTTGTTATTATCTGACGTAAAATGAAGTTATGTCCTTGCTCTGACGTATTTATTTTTTTCATCATTTTTGTGAATTTCGCTAGTGCTCTTAGATTGTGGACAGTGGAGTTCGTTTCAAATAACGCTGTGAAGCGTTTTAGTTCAGACTTAAATTCAGCAAGTGCATTATTATACTGGTGCGGAAATTCTACAGCAACCTGTATTGAGTATGACGAAGAATTGTCCGCATCCTGTGTCAGCTCTTGTGTGTTGGAGGAAGAGCACTGTGGTACTATTGAGTTCAAATCATTGTTTGGTGTTTGATCCAATCTCAGCGCCATATTCATATAAAAATTTTCATTTATCTAATCCCCATCGCAATTCTTGCTAGTAATATTCTATCATGAATAGACAGCCGAGGAGAATTCGGAAATATAACCCCAGATTTTTGCTCAATAGTACATAGGTGCTTGCAAAATCTTCCACATTTTTCAGCATCACAGTCGCAAACAGCTAAATCGTCTCTGACAGTGTAAAAAGTATTTGAATTTGTCTCTGATTCTACACTGTACTCATTATCGTTGACTTTAGAAATATTTTTAATATTTCGAGCAGTTTTCATGAACATTGCATATATGGAATCCTTGGTTTTTCGCGTGTTAGCGTAAGAAATGATGCGGCGCTGAAAATAGTTCTCAAAAATGGAGGTGATGAAATCTACCAATGCGCAAGCATTAAATGCTTTACAGCGCTGGAGTATCACGTCTTTAAGAATGCGTATAGATGCTTCTGTTATGTTGTTAGTATTGTTTCCTCGCGTAAGTAAATCCACCCTACCAGAAGAGATACACCATTCTAGTCGCTGTTCCAATAAGTTACTGAGATGATTTAACAGATCTGGCATCGTCTTAATATACTCGTCCATTGTCAATCCCTCATACAATTTTACTGCTTCTTCTGGATCAGTTACAAAAAGAATATTTCTAAATCTCATCATGATTGACTGTCTTTTCATTATGTCAACCTTGTGATCCGTAACGCAAAGCCAACGCCAAAAGGCTTGACATACATGAAATGCGCACAATATTAATCGAGCATTTGGAAAAATGGTTCTCAAAGCATTTCGTTCTGCAGTAGAATCATCCGTCATAACAATATCAGGCTCAAATTTTTTACTCGTCTCGTTCTTTTCTATAGCTTCTTTAATGGTGGCAAAAACCAGTGTGTAATTGGATTCATTTTGCTCGGTATGTATAGCACAAGCCAATGGAAGACCGCCAATTTTGTGAGATGTAAAACTAGAGTAATTGCAGAACTGGTCTGGTCACACGATGATGTTGTGTCTACAAATATCATATTCTCATATGCAGTAGATAGAAAGACCCGTTTCATTATAGGCGTAATTATGACAATAATCCTGGGATTTTGTTTCAACAGTATCGTGTAGCCTTTCTCATTTAAACTCTCAATTTTCCCTTGCATGATTTCGGGGAGATTGCATTCATTACGGTCACCATACTTTTCAGCACGCCATTTATTATACATGTAGTACACATGATTTTCAGAAGGATTTATTTGAAAATTCGACAGCATCTCTATTCCATTTACAGCAGTATCTTGAAACGAGTCCAGTATGTTCAATTCATTGTAATTTATTGCTGCACAAGGTGTCATTCCACTGTTGAAATATTTTTTAAATCTCTTCGGTTTCCTGGTTGCATTTTAGTAAATTCAAAGCTTCGGCAACATAAACGCGATGAGTGTGTTCAAAAACTATGGTCACTAACACATTATATCCTTTCAACAATAGTTTATCGTCTCGAATAGTGTCCTTGTTGACTTTTTTGATAACAAAGTCTATTTTAGCCTTACAGTTTTGTCCACGAGACGACTTATCAGATTTTTTATTGAACGATGAATGTTGACATGTATAAGTTTTTCAAAACAAGAAGCGCTTCAACGAAGGATATGACTTTCGAACTATTCAAATCGTTTTCGTATAACACACTCAGCGCCGGTGTATACTTAACTATACACCATTGTACCTCTACTCCCAGGCCGGTGTATCTTTAATGATACACCCGACACGGTCTTATTCAAGCCCTGGAGAATACGCCACTATTTCTGGGTTGGGAAATGTCTAAAAATAAAAAAAAATATGTCAAAAAATCGACATTGTTTATTTTCGTTCACTTAATAGTTATTCTAGATTATTTTAAGTTACTTATGTGCTAGATTAAAACAATTACGGCAGTAAAATGATTTGCAAATATTACAAATAGTTTGCACTTGGGTGGCGTACTTCCTCTTCCCACCAACTTCCATCCCCTTCTTTCCATAAATGGCATAGCAGGCTTTGCATCGGCCACGCTTCAATTTTGGCGGTCTGCCAACTAGGAAATTCACCAAAAGGTGCTTGTTGCTGGATCCAATAGTTTCTTTGCTGCTTCCAGCAGCTCCTCTGCTGCTCCCAGCAGCTTCTCTGCAGATTGAAGGTGGTTGGTTTCCTGATGATTGATCCACAAATTTATCAATCAATCCTTCGATAACTTTTTCACGAAACTCCATTATAGTAATTTTCTTGTTTCGAGAACACTCATTATAAAGAAAGTAGGCATTTACCAAACTCGTACCCCAAATAAACTCCATTGCTAGCTTCCTGTACAATTTAGTACATCGCCTCAAAGCTGATGCATATGAAGCCATTTGGTCACTGACGTCTATTGATGACTTGCCAGTATTGTAATCAACAACATAATCCGGTTTGAAAATAACTTGTCCTCTTTTTGTTTTTACTGCTGTCATTTTCTTCGCCGAATTAACAGTGCTCAAAGTTGTAACGACTCTCTTATCTTTCCATTTCGTCACGCCAATTTTTCCGTCTGTCGTTTCCTTCGCTATTATTTCTCCTTTCTTCAGTTTTTGTGTGACTAAATCTTTTGGCAAATGCTTTCTATTGAGTCTCAACGTGCCCACCAAATTTGTCTTTCTATGCTTGAGCCTATAGGCAAGTGGGATACTCGTGTAGTAATTATCCGTGTAAAGAATTCTGTTGTCATCTAGTAGATCTTTTACTAGGCTCATTACAACCTTTTCAGCAGCACCTTGATCTATTTGAGCATTCACGTGAGTCTTTCCACAATAGACAGACATATTCCACGTATACCCCCTGTCTGTACATAGTTTGAACAATTTGATGCCATATTTGTGGCGTTTTTTTGGGATGTATTGCTTCATAATAAGTCTCCCTCTTCAAGGGATCAGACTTTCGTCGATACATATCTTTTTACCAGGTGTGAAAGCGTTTTGAAAATTATGTATGTATATAACTCTGCGGTCCTCATATAATAATAAACTAAGTATTCCACTACATTTTACTAATTTTGTTGGTAAATCCTTCACCATTCAGGCTGCACTGTTCTGGAACTCCTTGCCCGATGACGTCAGAAATACATCTAATAAGACTGCCTTTAAAAGATTGGTACACAAGCACTTTAATGATAGTATGGTCAATTTGGTTACCTTTGTTGTTATTTTATTTATAGGTTTATGTTATATATCTATTTGTATTTATAATATGTATATATTTATGTATTTATATATTTGTATGTAAATATAATATATTGCCTGTATTGTATTTTATAGTATATAAGTTCATTGTATTTATATATATAATATTAGTTTATTTTTATGTTTATCAGTAGTTTTTTTTTCCTTGATTTACTCTATTGTTCATTTTATTTTGTCACCTATCACCTAATTTCCACACGTCCCGGGTTGATTGGGAGAGAATGCCTAAAGGCATTAAGTCCGCCCTTTGTAGTCCTTTAATTAAGGTGCAATAAAGTATAAATCAATAAATAAATGTTCTTAGCTTATACAAACGGTCATCGCCGGGGTCTTGTTCGTTATCTGAGAAATGAAGGAATTTCAGAATAAGCTCAAATCTGTTACGTGGCATAACTGTTCTGGCCAGTGGTAGTCCATACAGCTTATGCTTCCTCCAGTAATCACGAATGCAAGGTAGCTTCACCAGCCCCATCCATCCAATGAGAGCTAGAAATTTATACATTTCATTGATGGTCACAGGTTTCCAATTATGTAGTCTTGATTGTGGACCAACATCTATATTGCCTGCTGTTAGATGTTGGCAGGCATAATGGTTAGTTTGATCAACTATCGTTTGAACTATATCAAAAGTCAAAAACACCTCGAAATAATCAAGTGGTGTACCATCTGCCATAATTCCTTGATGTATATCCTTCATGCTTGCCACACCTGAGAAGTCTTCAGTAGGCATATGATCTTTGGGGATACCCCAATCAATATTGACAACTTGCTACCTAACTATTTCATCTTCAGAAAAGTCCTGGGTTAAACCAGTTGAACTTGGTCTGTTGGTCGAGTGATGGATCCTCCATCTGGCTAAAGGCTCTTCATCTGCACTATCGTACTCGGAAGTTGAGTCACCAGATGCGTCAGGTGCGTAATTCGGATCATCAAGAGAGTCATCGTTTGAGAAATCCATGATATTTTTATAAAACAAATTTTCACTTCACTGTAACAACAAAGAAAAGGAAAAATTATAGCAAGAACTTACAATTCTCGCTATAGTTTTTCCTTTTTGCAATCTTGATTCATCTTCTGTCATCTTCAAAAATCTGAAACAAAAAAGAAATAATACTGAAGAATAAGATACTTAGTGAGGTATGAGTCTTTTTTTACAAAATCATGTGATGTATCATTTAAGATACACCTGGCCTGGGAACGTAAATTTCGTCTAGGATTAATTCCCAGGCCGGTGTATCTTAAAGTATACACCTAAAAAAAGGGGGTAAATAAAACGATTAAAAAAAAACAAAAAAAACAGTGCATATTTTGTGACCAGTAGAAGCCATTTTTACAATAAAAAAATTTTGACATGTCCATGACATTCGACCAAATGGTCTTTGGCGTTAAGTGTGATAATTAGAAAAAAATTTAACAAACTCGTCGATAAACTTAGCATATAGTTCTTGCTCTTCATTTTGATCAGCTTTCAGTCTAAATTGTATGAAGTACTTTTCACACGATTCAAAATCTAATTTCTCAATAAGTCCACAATGTTCAGTTATAAATCCCTCTAAACCGGCTTTATCTATCATTTTACACACTTTTTACACTAAGAGAATCACAAACTATATAGTTATCACTCGATAATATACTTCACACTATGCTATGCACTATATTTCCTATTTTTTTTAAATTAAAAACACTGGAAATCAGAGAGTTTAACAGTACTAACTCACACGTGGTAAAAAATGATGCAACAAACGAAATATTGCGTCAGCCAGCGGGCGAAAAGGAAAGAACGATTGAAATAGTAACGTGATAAAAGAGTATCCAGCGATTGCTTTGTTACGGTCAGATATGTTTTAAAATAACTGCGCGGGCGTGACCTAAGCCTAAATGTATACCCGATTTCAACACGCACCAGTGACGTCACAAATGTTAGGTAAAGGTACGCTCTAATGAAAATATTTTCGCTTTCTGGATTTAAAAATATACCCGACGGCAACACGGTCTCTGACGTCATAAGCGTTGCGTGAAGGTATAGATTCCATATACGCGCCGGGAATATGCCGTCAGGTCCTGCCGCCTTATAGAGGAGGAAACTGCCCAATGGATTTTGTCCATCGTTACCACTCTTTGTGCTAAATTCTAGTCTTTTGCTGTTAGTGTCAGTATGTCGTCATGCCGGTTTGCCTCCTGAGTTACGCAGCAGCCTGGGAAGTGTATTTTAATTAGGATGCGTTGGGCTTCATCCGGCGATGTTGAGTGACTACCGCCGGGTTTCTTTAGAGAGATGGATCCCGACGTGTTCTATTTAGCTAGAATAATCCTTATCCTGTTCGCTTGTTCGCAGGTTTCTATGTTGCCACAGAATTTACGCCACCCTGTCGAGCGTCGATACCTGATACATTTCTTGTATCAGGTATCGACGCTTGTATCTGATACGTTTTCTATCTAGTTCTTTACTCCACCATGGTTGCTTTACCTCAGCATGCCTTGGTGGAGTGATTTCTGAACATGATTCATGGTAGTTATCTATCATGGCTTTAGTAATAGCTGCTACCTGTTCTTTTAGGAGTGATTTGTCTGCTATAGTATTTGTCCCCTCAAAACCTACGAGCGAAGACGTCAACCTATTAAGGTATTTTGTTTTATCCGTCTTGCGGGGATTCCTCCATGGTGGTGTAGCGGGGATATCGACCTGTAGTGCGAAGCAGATCCATCTATACTGCGACGACTAATCTTCTCTCCTGTGTATATTGTATTGCCATGGCATACATGTCTCTAGAACAGAAATCTGTTAATGGTTGTGCACAGATATCTTTAGTAGTGTAAATACACGCTCTAGGCTTGTCGTATTCAGAGCTGTAGAATAGCTTACCTTTTAGGTTGTTTAGGCCTTTAACTTTACCAGCCCAAAGAATTTACCTCCACGACCCTGGAATTTTACGTAAACCGCCCCGCATACACATGCGAGACGGCTCAGGCCTTCATCAGGGTCGGGATATGATCCTCCGGCACCGAAACAACGAGGAACCTTCCGTCCGTCTGTTTATCTGCCTTTAGTAACAGCCAGTCTCTGATGTTAACCCAGCGGTTCTGGTACGCCAGCACACGACCAATGTCGCGTGAGTCTTTCCAGGCTCCCTGGGCATCAGGGATGAGGATACCACATTTGACTCTTTGTGGTATCTCCGACTGTTTCTTTATAGTCAGCGAGGTGTTGGATTTAAGGTCGAGGGTAGCAATATTCTCCTTCAACCAATCCAGAGCCTTCTGATCGTCGCACCACAGTTTCTAGACACCCTCCGTGTAAACGGGTTTGCCTCTAAAAACTGGGCCCGACGCATCAGGGTTCTGGCTACTCCAGGCGTCGCTGATCATTTTCCTCTGTATTGCCACGAGGATGTCGTCTGCTACTTCCTTCGTAATGTGACCTGAACGCGCACACGTTAAGGCCACACCCAAATCTGCTTTATCAGCGGAAGCGTAGCTTGTTCTTGCAGCCTTTGGTTGCTGTTCGAGTTTGTTCTTGCAGCCTTTGGTTGCTGTTCGAGTCGCACTTTTTGTGCTCTCCTTTCGGCGAGGTGGATTCTCCCAGCATTCTTTTGGCTGTTCTTTCCTATTTCCCAGGACGCTTTGCCGCTCGCTGTTTCCTGGCGGATATCTTAGAGCTGGTTCCCGCGGCCACGACTTCCACTTGGGCTGGATTTTGATCCTTCCCAGCTTCAGCGCGGCTACTGGTTCCAGCCCCAAGCACCCCAGTCGCAGTAGCTTGCCCAGCCTCACTGGTCTTAGTTTTAGAAGCAGCCAGCGCGGCTCGTTCTCTTCGGCCTTTTTCTCGCTGCTTCTTATTCTTCTTTTTGGCCTTTCCTATACTGCCTGCAGGGATAGGCCAGGCCCTCCTGATGGTCCGTCAGGTCGGCAAGTCACCTTTTTGGGTGCCTTGCCTTTCCCCTTACGGCTCACCACTTGCCAGGTAGCAGAGAAAAGGTCGTCCGTTCTTTGAGGCTCCGCAGGAGTTTTGTTACTCGCGGGCTCTTGATCCTTTTTCTCTTCCAGCTCCTCAGGTTTGAAACTGGTTTTTGAAACGTTCAACGCGGAAGTTGTCCCCTTGGTGGGGTCACCTACGCTGGACGTTACTGTCGGTGGAACCGTCGGTTTAATGGCGGTTCCCCTTTGTTCTTTGGTGTCTCTGGTAAGCACCTCTGACACCTCTCCCTCTTTCTTACTTGGCCTTAAATTGTCCATTGACTTTGTGTTATAAATTCGTCCCCCCGGCTTCCCACCCTCCATGGAGCCCGCACCTTTGGGAACGCCCTACTTTAAAAAAGAATTTCAGGTGTTAGGATTACCGGGAGAATATAGGGACGCGAACTTGGCTAATAGCGCGACATCGGAAGCTCGATCCAGCTGGTAGATGGGGCTGACAAGGCCATCCCCACTACCCGAATAAACTGTCACTTGCTACGTCAGCATGGCCTTTACCACCACCCAGCCCCTTTTCAGGAAAACTAGGCAGCCCCCACATCCCTCGCCTGTGACCCTCTGACGGGGCGCTTGACCATTTCCCTATCTGTGGCTAGCAGATAGGGCCACCG